ATTTCAGCCAGCTGGCTCCTTCCCCTTATCTATATGTCTGTCTCAACCAGACTGAGCCGTGCGGCCTGAGTGGGAGAAGTGATCTAGGTGTCCGTGAGCAGAGGCCCTGTGTCCGAAGTGTTGGGCAGAGGAGGCACCGGGTGGTCCTTGGGGCTTTTGGCACCGAGCCCTGAGGGTGGGAGGGTGGTTACCTGGAGCCACCCCTATCTGCTGTCAGCGTGGAGACAGGAAAGTTCAGATGCAGCAGATAAAATGGCAGGACAGACCAGCCTTCCCTGGCTGCCCTTGTCCCAGCGTTTTGCTCTGACATGGTTGTGGAGGGAGTTTCTCCCAAGTTACATTAATAACTGGCTGCACTCCTCCTTCGCTTCCTTCACAAGCTGACTGACTGGTCATTGGGTTTCCAAATGAAATACAGAAATCCTAGGTATACCTTTGAACACACGAAAAAAGACCAGGAGACCATGGAGAAAGAGTTCTTTGGAGAAGCTGTTTTCAGCCCTGGGAGGGTGTTGTCATGGGAATGCTGACAAGCCTGGTGGTCTCAACAGCGTTAAGTGTGGCAGCTTTCCAGACCCAGAGACTGCTCAAGATGGTGTAGATTTCCTGCAGTAGAAATTGAATGGTGTGCACAAGGCTTCTGAATATAGTCAAACTGCAGAACAAGAAGTACTGACCCAGTTCAGAGAGGAGAATGATGCAGCTGCTAGATGCAGAATCCCCTGAGCATCTGGTATGTACTCTGCCAGCATGGGAAGGTTTTTCTGGTGTCTCAGTCCCATCGGTTTCCTTTGCTGTTGGCTCTATGTGGTCATTACAAAACTGAGGCCTAATAACTGGGTAATGTACTGTCTATGTATTTCTAAGAAAACTGAGCATTTTGAAAAGTAGTCCAGGTTCTGGCAGGGAACACTTCCTCTGTACAGAACACAGTTCTGCATTTTGAAACCTCCAAGTTATCACTGACAGGGTAGAATGCTACCAAATAATGCTCTCATATCACAGCTGGGGTTTTCAGTGCTGAAGTATGCATCTATAGATGCTACTTTTGGATGACAGTTATAAAATAAACACCTCTGTGTAATCTTTTTGTAACTTTCCCGTCGAGTTCTATTTAGAGAACTGCACTGACTGTTCTCGTAACCCTTTATGGCCCAACTGCAAAGGTCTTCTCTATCTCTAGCCTCCAACTCATTTGGTGACTTTAAGAATAGGCATTAAAAAGGCAAATATTCTGGCCTAATTCACCTTCATTTTTCTGCAGGACTGTGCAACCACGCATGGCAGTGAAGTGCACTTTCCCAGTACATACCATAGAGGGTAATTTAGTATGAAGCCAGTGCAAACTGACTTATAGCAGCTGGGTGCACACTGTAGCATGCCATAGGATCCAGGTCCCTTGATTTGTGGTACCTGGAGCATGCCATGGGGTCCTTTGGCCACTGTGCCAAGGCTTCCTTCCCATTGAAACGAAGGTCTGAGGAGAATGCTGGTGAGCAGTGGAGTACTGGATAATCCAGCCTTGCCCTGATAAGGAGTCAAAGCTCAACTGGGACATGCTCTGGCCTCAAGAGTTGGGAGCTGTTCCCGATGCCAGTAGTTGTGCTCATAGACTAGAGTTAGACAGAAAATACTTTCCCGTGTAGATCCTGTTCATGTACTGAAGGGATCAGTGTTACGGGCGTTTAAATGTAATGCAAAAGGGAGCCCTCCCTTTTGGATACATGTTGCAATTCTGTGCCTGTGGTTGAATTGTATTGTAAAAATTGTACATGAGGTGTAAGTTCTCAGAATGAATGCTGAAGATGCAGACAAACGTTATTCAGGTATGTGGGCCCCCAGTCATTTCGTAGTGGGTGGATAAGTTAACGGAAAGGAAACAAAAGCATGTCATTTTGGAGGTGTTCAGCATCAAACCAAACATTTCCTGACTTCAGCATCTGTTCTGAAGCAGCTGGAAGCCACTTTCTAGTGTAGGGTACATCTTCAGTCTTGAGTTTGACATACGGTTAAGTTCAGGTCTTGTCTGTTTGCCTTCTCTGTCAGCCCAGGTATCAACTGAGAGTTAAGTACATGGCACTGCTCAGGAAGTCGCCTTCTGCTTTTGCTCAGATGAGCTATCTCCCTATCTTGTTGTGAGCATACAGTTCAAGTTGTTTGTCTGGTGGTAGTCATCCAGTGCCTTTCTGTAGTTTTCCACTATATGCCCAGACAACTTCCAGTACTTTCCTGTGAAAGAATACTACAGTGAATCTGTTCACTGCGGTGTACGATGCAGAGATAGATGCCATCAGGTCCTAGCTGTATGCAGCACATGTGATACCCTACTCAAATGTATGTGCATTTGCATCACGAGTACTCAGGCTCTGGTTAGACTAAGTCTGTATCATGTAAACAGTCTGCAAGGGTGATGCAGTCATAAATTTTTTTCTTTTTTTTTTTTTTCTTGCAGTATCAAATCCTTTTAAATTTCTGGCTGCTTGAAAATTTCAGGATGTACCCAACATGTGAAAGGAAATACAGCAAATCACTTCCTGATGCATTGATTTTATTTTCCTTTTTAAGGCTAAAAATACCCACACGTTCATTAAAGTAACTTTCTTGTGGCCAAGTGTGAAAACACATTGGTTTGGATTGGTCTGCAAAGTACAGCTTATAATGCAGTCAAGACAGAGAAGTGCTGCAATTACAAGTTAGCGCTATGTTCACAGTGTTCAGACGGTTCTGGTGGTGGTGCGGAACGCACTTTGTGGGTTAAGTAGTAACAGTCAGTTGTGAGTACTTCTGCTATCCCAAGCAGACTTTTTATCTAATTCCAGGTCCTTCTGATTTGCATAATGACAGCCTATTCAAGGTTTAAGTTTTACTAGTAAATCAGGCTGTATAGTTGGCACCGTATAACTGCTGCTGTTGTAGATGCTTGGAGCAAATGAGCTGCATGCTGTTTGAGCAGTAAGCTTTTGTTTAATTAGTCTTGGAATGTAAAATATTTCTTGGCAGGTGGTTAGCTTGATCTCTGCCATCCGACAACATCATCCATACTGGTGACGTCTTCTTTGGATGTCCTGAGTCAAATAACATATATACAGGGAAGAGTAATTTATGGAGTTTTAAAATTTAAAACACAGAAAAAAGGACATAGAAGCAGTTAAGTAGAAGAAACGTTTTGATATTCATATGAACGAATCCCTGTTTTTTCTGTAGTGAAAAATACTTGTCTACATATTATGAGCAAGGCATGCCTATAACTTTGTCTCCAACATGAAAGGAATTTCTGAATAGCATTTCAAATTCACCGAGGTGTGGGTTTTTTTTTTATTTCATCATGAATAATTGCTTTTGAAAAACTGTAATGAAGTCTTTATCTGTCATGTTAACATGTCAGTCAAGTACTAAAGCAACTCCACAGCATCTATGGCCAACATTGTGAGTACTGGGTGAAAAGGATGCCACAATGTTTTTTCATCCTCTACAAAAGTCTGGCCTCTATTGGTAGTGTTGTAGTACAGACAATTGATTTTTTTAGGTTTTTTGTCATAAAGGACTGTCAAACAATGCAAAACCAAAAGACTGTAAGGAAGCATGCATTGTTTCTCTCGTTTCTGTACAGAAGACAGTGCACCACGTTGCAGCAGAAGACTAATGGTACTCAAAATACAGCACATGTGCTTTGCCTTTGAGCAGAGGAAGGGCTGTATTAGCTGCTAAGCTGCAGTAGTGCTCGGTGTGCCTTTGTGCTAGAAGGCACCAGCAGCATGAATGAGAAGAACTAGTTGTTGGAAAGGTGATCGTGCTGCTTAGAAATGTGATTTTTTTTTTTCTACAGTGTCCAGAACTATACTACTGTTCACCATTTAACAATTCCCGTGCAACTTTTTACACCTTGTTGTCTTCCATGCCTGGCAGAACTCAGCTGACAGATATTCACCAGAGGTGAATCACCTTCGCCGTGCAACTCAAATTTGCTATTGAACCCTGCATGTAAATAAAAACAAGGCCTGAGATTCATTACAATCATCTGATTTCAGAACAAATACACCTGCAAGTCAGTCACCGAATTCTATTAGTATTAACAAAAATCTAAGACAAAGAGAAGTGCTATACAAGTTGTGCCTCGTATTTATGAAGCCTGCCTGCCAACTTGAGCCTTTTGCATGGCATGGGATCATTTTTAGGAAAGTTTTGTATCTTCTCAACGTGGTGACTGAGCAGAAGACTAACCTTGCTCTCGAACCTTGGTTGCGTGTGTTATAGCAGGATACACCCTTCTCCACACAGGAGGCTGAAAAAAAAAGTATTCTGGGGGGCAAGCTTTACAGAAGGGTACTTTGAATAGGATCTGGTGATCTAAACTCCAAACCCTTTTCTAGTATGCTACTTTAGCACAGACACCAAGCCTGGAAACTCAGTATGTCTTAAGTCATATGCTACAAAACTGCATGGGTGTGTGTGTAACCACCGCAGGTAGCCTCACGACCTCATTTCTATTGCTCTTATCTTTTCTATCGCTTGGTGCATAGTTGCACCATCTGTCTTGTTTAAGTGATAGTCAGTTCATGTCAGTGAATGCCTATCTTACCTGTCTGCAGTGTCTGCAATGACTGCAGTCATTCCAGGAATGAACTATGCGCCCATGCCTTGTGAGATAGATCCTTCCAGCACAGGCCACAGAGCTGAATTCAGACCTTCCCCTGAATCTGCCCCATTTTCTATCCATAAAATGGGGCTCGTAGGGGCATTTGAGAATAATGGAGCTGAAAGTGAGTTTTACGGGAATTCTCAAACAGTTGGCATTTGCAAAGTTTCATGCTTGCTGAAATCAGGATGATGCTTTGAAACCAGCCCCCCCACTTCTTTCAAACAGAATTGCAGAAAATCTCCATCAATTCTCAGGTGTCTGACACTCTGGGTTGCACCTAAATCCAGATATAACACATGTGCAGTGGCTTGTATGCCATTTTTTATTTTTATGTAAGAGAAGGAATGCAGAATGCAGGATATGTCTTTAAATGTCTCTATTGTTTATTAAAAGAAGAAAGCGTTCATGTTGGCTTTTGTTCTATAGAATTTTATAGCTCTTCAAAGTATCATTTTTTGTTACTGTTGAAATGTACTTGATGTTTTAAGTATTGCCTTAGTGCTTCAGTGGTGGGAAAGCTCCTGCCATGAGTGCATTCCAGGAGGCTTGGGGTGAGGCAAGAACTCTGTATGGGAGGGTTATGAGGGATATTTTGACATCTAGAGCAGGAGCATGCAGTGGTTTTAAGTTGGAGGAATAGAAAGAAATAAGAGCAAAGTTGCAGGCAGGAGGCAATTACAAAAGGGCTTGGCAATAAAATCCTAAATCCAAAATGAAAATGCTGAGATAGGACTACATGAGAAATGGACTTATTTCCAGAGATTTCGAGCTCTTCATTGTGTTTGGGGGTTTTGGTTTCCCTCCTCCTCTCATGAGCATCCTGGCCGACGCCTGAGCCAATTCATTGAGATCGAGACCTGTGTCTGAACGGCACAAATGGGAAATGCGCGAGTCCCTGGTGCTGGTGTCTTGAAACCCTTTAGAGCAGTGCTGCAGATATTGTAGCAAACTAAGAGGAGTCCTGTAATCCCCTTTTCTGCATGAAGATTGTACCGTGTCCATCGCTCACAAATACTGTAAGGGGAGAAAGAACAATTTAAGAATTCAAAACCCACTCTTACCAAGTCAGTTGAAGAAATGAAAGTGTACCTGTCTCTTTCACCGTAGATCTTCGTCGCATTGTGCCAGGAAAATAGAAATATTTTTCAGGTATTTTCTAGTGCTTGCAGCAGGGCGTTGTTCTGTGCGTCTCCTACAGGAGAATGTAACCCCCCCGTGCTGAGCTGGAGCGCTGCGGCGGGGCAGCCGGTGGGCCCGGCCCGCGCAGTCACCTTCTCCTCCGCGTCCTCTTCGACAGGGGGGTCCGCGCTGGCCGGGGTCTGCGGCTTGGTCCCGCTGGGCTGGGGCCGCGGGGCGGGGGGCCCCCGGGGGCGGGGGGTGTCGGGGGGCGCCCTCCCAGCTCCCGGAGCGGGGAAGGCCGCGCTGGTGGGAGCAGCCCCCTCCCCGGCGGTGTCGCCTGGCTGGCGAGCTCCGGGGGGCCCGGCCTTGCCGGGGCGGCGTCCCCCCGCCCGCCGGGGGCCGGGGCGCCCTGCCCGGGATCGGCGGGGGCCGGGCCTTCCCGGCCGCCGTTCCCGGGGCGGGGCCGTTCCCGGGGCGGGGCCGGTGCCCGCCCCTCCGCGGGGCGCCCCTGGGGCGGGGAAGGGTCTCGCGTCCGGGGGCGGGCGGGCCCGGCGGGCCGCGGCCGCCCCGCCCGCTCCGTGCCCCGCCGCGGCCCGCTGTGTCCGGGGCCCGGCGCGGACCATGGTCCAGCGCTTCAGCCTCAGGAGGCAGCTCTCGAAGGTGGGTCGCGCCGGGCACCGGCGAGTCGGTGCGGAGGAGGCAGCTCTGTCTTTTGTTCTTGGCTCTCGGAGACACAAAGGGGGTTCCGCTTGCGGTTGGGGGGTTTTCCGGCGTTTTAAGCCGGCCTGTCTGGTGGTGGGTAAGGGGTTCGTTACCGCGTAGGTGCTTGGAAAGCCTGCAGCCGCCTTGCTCCGATTAATCTTGGGACTTAAAGAAGGGGGTGTCTGAAAAGGAGGAGCGGAGCTAACAGTTGTGCCGACATGTGGGTGTGCAAGGCAGTTGCCTGTGACGGTTACTTCAGCGTGTGCTTTATGCTGGCTGGAATGTCTTTGGTAGTCAGGAATATGAATTGTCCCAGTGACACACCTGCAAAACCAGGAGGGAAGCTTGCCCTCCCGGCTTTGAAGTGCTCAGCAGCGCTTGCTGTTAATACCGGATTTAAGAACAAAGGAGTTGCTGTGAACAGGTTTTGCTGTTTAATAATTACAAGCGTTCTAATTTGTTTCAAGAAGCTGCTTTTGAGGAGAGAGTCCATATAGTCTTGCAGTTTTGTCGCTGAATCGATACAATGCGTGTAGTTTGAAAAACGTTTGGAAAAAAAAAATCAATCCATGAATAAAAGCAAGGCTGGGCAGTGCACTACAGGTAAGAGCGCGTCTCCTTCAGAGCTGCCAGCACAGCCCTGTTGTTGCATCTAACTGTTCCCATTGAGCAGACTTGGCTCTGGATATAGGAACTACAGTATTAATTGGACATTTAAATAGCAAGCTTAATTTTCACTTTACATTTAAGGTCTTCCTCCCGCCCTCCCCCACGTGTGTGTGATTGTAAAGGTTTTAAAAGGCATTCACCAAAATTCTAAAATTACGTTACCAGCATTTTAAATAGATAAGATTTCATGTCTTTCAGACTGTCTTGGAAAAGATGGCTTTACAGTAAGTTGGTATCTTTCTTATTTATGATTTTTCCAAGTGTCTCCTCATCTTAAAGAAACTGATGTGTTCATTTTTAGGGAGTATGAAAAAGTGCATCTTTTAACAGTTTATCTTGTTCCGTGTCAAGAGCTGTGCCTCCAAGCAGTAGAAGTCTCCACAGGCACTACGGAGTTTAATCTCCTCAAAAGAGGCTTGATCTAGTTAGTAATGAACTCCATATCTAAGCTTTGTCTATGTGGGGCAGCCAAAATAGCTTTAAGTAGATTCCTTTGGATGACTCCATTTTAATTCTTGTTTATCAAGCCAAGCAGGGTAATTTGGAAAAATGTTTACACTGATTTTTTACTCTAGGAGAACCATTTTCAGTTTGTTTTTCTAGCTCTCCATTTTTGTGTCTGACGCAATTGTGTCTTGCATTGTATTAGCTTTGGTTGCGTCAAGCCTACTTCTAAACAATTGTCTAGCCTTGACAGCTTCTTAACATCTTTGTTTTAATTGTAAAAGATGCACAACTTTTACAGTACGACGAACTGAAGGAGAAAATTAAGAGTTTAGTCTGAATTTACCAAAATAGAAAGTGTAGCTGTACAAAGGAACAATCGGAATGGATTGTGTTTATCTAGGTTTGGATGTAGAATGAGAACTTCATCTCCGTGCCTCCTCGCTGCTCTTTAGAATGGGTTTAGGAAGTCCCTGTGTGTTTGAGTCTTTGGGTGGTAGGGGGAAGGGGGTAGCAAATGGTGTTATAAAGCACTCTGTCATCTTCTGGAGGGAAATGATAGAAGAGACATAGAATTTTGCTAATGTATTTCTCATCCAAAACACAATGACTGCCAGACTATAGAAAACAAAGCAGGACTTTATTAATATTTCTTGTGCAGAAATCTTGATTCTTTTATAGTTGCTGACATAGACTTCAAAGTTGGCAAACGTCTGTGTAGGATCTGGAGCACCTGCTCCCAGGATGTATTCACTTCTTAGGCGAAATAGGACGTTATAAAGTGGTGTGCTGGTGTGAAGCAGCAGCAAGGTCAAAATTCCAGTTTCACCATATTTAGTGGTGGAGGCTTCAAATAGAATGTGACTGTGCAGATTTGAGAGCTACAAACTGAAAAATGCTGCCATCAGTGTGTAATAAAACTTGAGCAAAGAAAATGTAGGACTTCATGCAGGAAGGAAAAATAGGGCTTCATGAAACAGGGTTTAGCCTCAAATAGCTGGCTTCCTTTACAGCACGGCTACGTGCACTGCATGGCTTTGATCAAATCCTTTAAGTTCTCCCAGTCTCTGCCTTCCTTTTATGAATGGGGTTAATGCCTCTCTCTTATTTACATAATGGCTGTCAAATTTTGAAATACTGTTCTGGGGAGACCTGTATAAGCACTTAACCATATATTAATTTATGAAATGTTTGCATTTTGATAACCCATTTGTATCATGAATTTCAGAAAGTTTTACACAGATTTATATTCAAGTGTTAACTTCTTAATTCACATATAGCAAATCAGTATTTAGTATTTGTGGGTTATTGCTTGGATTCTGTGTTGGTTTGCTAACTTAAATGTCTGTAACTGTTAAAAATTTGATTCATAAGTATTATACCTTTACTGTGAAAGCAAAGGCAAAATACTTGATTTTTTTTTTTTTTTTGTTCAACAGATGCCTTCCTCAGGCCAAACTCAGATTGTTCACTTTGTTTCCCCCCCCTGCCTTCCCTGAATAACTGAAGTGTTTTCCAGGTATTTTGCTTCAAACCACTCTTCATCTTGTACAGTCTGGAAATCCTTGGAGGGCGCCTGCAATTGCTGTCACCCAAGACCTCAAGAAGTGCTGTTGCTGCTGTGTTACGTTTAGTTGGGGAATTCCCTCACTCTTGGAGTGATAGTACATAACTGTATCCAGCTTTTACTCAGCTTGACTTTTTCCAGATGTTTTAGCTGGGCTTATGAAAGGAAAATAATAGAGATAAATTGAACTGTATTTGTGGAAATTTTTCTAAGTTAAAATGCATACCCTTTCTTTTAAAGGCTCTGCTCTCCCAGAAGAGATTCAGATGAGCCAAGTAGTGCTTTCATATATGGCTGAAATTTTGACTAGAAAAGGCCAGTTTCAATTTAAAGAAAGAAAACGCCAAAAAAAAAAAAAAAAAAAGTATTTTTTGAGAACTGCAGTGATACTCAGTTCATTTAACCAGCACATTAAATGTTAAAAATTTCAGGCTGGACTGTCTTTCTCTTAAGTGCTGTATGGGTTTGTTAGCATCTGAACTGTCTCTGTGTTGTCTCTGTGATGTGGATTGAGTTTATTTATGGGAGAGGAGCTTCAGTGGACTATGCCAAAATAGCCTTGGAATACTTTTACTTAAGCTACAGAATTTCTTGCTAGCCTGTCTAGAGGTTATAGCAGGTGAATGTGCTGTTGTTCTGATAGCATAGTCTGCTCTCCTCCTTGTCACTGGTGTAGATTAAGCTGCTTCCAGCAGCGCCACCTCGGCTTCCTTCGAGTCACTCATCCCAGGCAGATGTGACCCATAGACAAGTGGGTTGCTCTTCTTCAGTTCTGTTCATTAGCCAGTGTTGATGGATCATTTCCTTTATTCTTTGTGCTGCTGACCTTGTATTTTTGTGGGCATAGGATCATCAGTGGGAATCTCCACAGATATAAATTACTTGGTAAAGATTAATGTAGTATAAAATAACTTTTTTTAGCAATCTAAATTCACTGTGAACAGATATGGACTCATATATAATAGTAAAGCAATTAACTGCTTAAGACTGCATCCCGTAAGCTGTCACCTAAAGACATTCCTGTGCAGAATCATGATGCTTCAGGTTCAAGAACTGTTTGTCACAGAACAAAAAAGGTAAATAATGGTCTTTGCTGAGTTACGTGGATTTCCAGAGTTCATTGCTTGAGTTGTTCACGGTTATATCCTTCTTTTTTGTGTGTTTGCCTCTGTCTTGAGGAGCAAAAGTCCCTAGAGAAGCTTGTAATGTGAAGTAAGATTACTCTGTCCTTTCTCAAGTCAGTAAAACACTGACCTAGGAAGTTAAAAGTGGTGACTTGATACTTGCGAGCTCTGGGGCCCGTTGTGTGGCCGTTTCCTGTCTATCAGTGTTGTAGATGGAAAAAGCGCATTTATTGATAAGGTCCACTATTGGAGGTGCTCAGGTCCTAAGAATTTTTTCCTATCTGGAGTAAGCTCAGTTTTACAGCAGCATGTTTTACTGGTAAGCCCTTGCCAAACATCAAGGAATATCAGGTTGTGATAACCAGTTTATCAGGGCAGAGCTCTCCTAATAGTCAATATAAAGGAGAAATAACTTCTAGCAAAGGTATGATGCTGATTCCAGTTTTATAGCTAAAATGGTCAAAAGGTGGATGCTTCTGTCTGTTTGGACAACTTGGTTTTTATGATACATAGCGTCAACAACTGGTTATGTTCAGAGTGCATCTATTCACTATTAAAATACATAAAATATTAGCTCTCGTTGAGTTTTCAGTAACCTTGTTCATAGAGCTGATATCTAATGTAGCTTGGCTACAGTTAATAGTGGGGGAATGCCGGAAGTAGGAGAAAGGTTTGGAAACCTGATGCTTTTCAACCCTATTCTCATGTTCAGTGGAGCAGCAGGCAAACAGTTTTCCTGTGGCTCTTCAAATTCTGCACTGCTCACAGAGTTGGAGTTACATCACTTCACCCGTGGCTGAGTGAAGCCGGTGGGACACTTTGATCTAATGGGACCTTCAGGGCTAGATGGACACCTGTGTTACCACATCAGTTGCTCAATGGTAGATTACCTTTAGATTACCTTTTTCTCATGGGATGCAGT